CGCACGGGCCGCACGTATGTGGTACGCGTAGTCCAGCCGTGTAGTTTTCTCGGCCAGCGCGTCTGATCCTACCTCCGATCTCCTTCACTTTGTCTTGACACCTGAATCGGGAGGGTGAGGAAGGAGAGAGTGCAGCAATGTGAAGAACCTCTGACATCATTATAATTCAATTCACGCACAAATCATCGTTCCTGTGTCCAATATGCTGTGGGGCACACGGTGCACATCGTCGGTAACGACTGTCGAACTGTTGCGTCATGTCAGATTGCAACAGAAACTCGAAGTAGAAATCACCAAGCTACAGGAAAAGGCATATTTCTCTCAAAAGCGCCATGCTCTCGCTTATTGAAATAACAGGATGTATTTTACCGGGAATTTTGCGTTCTTAAATAAGATGAACAATAGTAGACATAGATTAACTAGCCGTCCAGACTCCGGTCACCGGTTTAGACATTGTCGCCATCTACGCTTGCAGGCTTCATCGACAGGCTTCCGTCCCAACCTTCTGCTTTTAAAGGAGGGTCTCCTTGAGATGTTAATAAAATTACCAAAGTTAATGAATACCATGAATGCCGATCCTGGTAGGTTTCTAAAACCTTAGCGGTGTGTTTCAGGAAGCCTTAAATATTAAATACTAATAATGACAGCAGAACATAACCGTAAGGAAGACGACTGTCCTGTAAGGACAATGTGATCAGCGAGTTACCTACTCTAAAGCTCTGCATAGCATGCGTTGTCGTCGGGGGTCGGAATTTATCTCGTCTTCTCATCCTCTGTTTTGAGTGGATTTGCAGCCAACTGACTGGGGACTTTTCATTTATGCACGTTCATACCCAGTTTGCGCGAAGTCTGAGTGGCATGGAAGTAACCATCCGAATTTGCCGCCCACACAGAAAGGACTTCAGGGGTGCTGTTGCGTCAATGATTTGCGTGACCTCCATTTGCAAATTAATCCACTGGCTGAAACCTCCCAGTCACATCTGAAAATCGCACTCAAATTTGTAGCTTACTAAGCAATGTGACTTCGTCCATTCATTTCCTGCTTCACCTTAATTCGTTCCTATTTCCCTAAAAGGATGCAGAATTAATCCATTTTCGAGCTACTTTGCAGAATATTGCCTATTTAAAAGGGGATTTTTATGATTTGAGTGCCTGTCAGTTTTGACAACGTGCCAGTTTATGCATATTTTAAAACGAAACTGGCTTTTTCATCTGTTTATTGTGGGCTAGCTTCGATGCAATCAACCTAATGCGCATTCACGTAGTCCATCCCTTCTTTTTGTGCTCTGCGTATATGTATATATATATATGTTCTGTAACCTGATCGGTGAGCGCCCATCTGTCATAATTGATATTCCGGAACACAACCGACAGGATAACGGGCCCGTGGCTCAATGGTAGAGCGTCAAACTCCATGACCAAATACCCCGGGTTCGAATCTCAAGTGATCCACACTTGGGATTGGGTATGACTGGCTGATAACGGCTAATAAGCCAGAAATGGCCATTCCAGTCTCCCTTGTCTTTGTCGGTATCATCTTATCATAAATACATAACGGTAGAGGGGCGCTCACCGACCGTTTCTACGGAACGCACTCGTCCCGTTGTGCCTTGGGGCTCTCTCTCAAGTCCAACCAGCAGCCGCACAGCGGCGCATGAAGTAGGCGGAATTACATTACCGACAAACACAAGGAAGACTTGAATGGCCATTTCTGGCTTGTTAGCCGTCGTCAGCCAGTCATACCTAACCCTGCAGTGTGGAACACCCGAGGCTCGAACTCGCAGACCTGTTAGTTAGAAATCCAACGTCTCTAACCACTGGCCACGGGCCCCTTGTCCTGTCGGTTGCTCTCTCAAGAGCCCTAAGGCACAACGGAACGAATGAGTTCCGTAAGAACGATCGGTGAGCGCCTCTCCACCATTGTATATTCCCGATCGCAACTGACAGGAATACGAGCCCGTGGTCCAGTGGTTAGAGGGATTGAATTTCTAACTAACAGGTCGCGAGGTCGAGCCTCGAGTGTTCCACACTTCGGGGTTGGACATGACTGGCTGACTACGGCTAATAGGCCAGAAATGCCCATTCCAGTCTTCATTGTCTTTGTCGGTAACACAATTCTGCATACATATATACATAAAAAAGAGAAGGCTCTTCGGAAAATCGAATTGTACCCGTAAATTTTCAAGTCGGTGACACCGACCCCTCGTCAGACGAAAGGAACAGAAGAGAAGGTGAGATCGGCAGACTAGGTCGGCTGGCGCGACAGGACAGACAACGACAAACAGACAGCTGATGCGTGAGAGGGGTGGACGCCGAGTTTTGTTAAGCTCTGGGGCACAAAGGTCCCGTGAGTCGATCAGCGAACGTTCATCCGGGTTTTTGGAAATTTTCGAAAGCGGCTGGTAGGACAAGGGGTGAGTAGCCCACGGATAGAACGTTGAAACTGACAATTCCCAACGACCAAAGAATCTTGGCTGAAATCACAGACTACCCAAAAAGCGGGGTTGGGTGCATTTGGCTGACGTCGACTACCATTCCAAAAAATGGCCATTCTAGTCTCTCTTGTCTTTGTCAGCATCAATTCTGTCTTAAGACCGCAGACGCAGATGATGGGTTTCGTCCAAAAATGTATCAAGATTAAATTAAGAAGACCTACATAAGCCTATCTAATTGGTAGGCTGGTTTGTGTTTAGACGTCAGTCGCAGAATTAAACTCTTTTTTAGACGGATGCTTAGATGTAATATAATGCTACATGAGTGAACGGGGTTTGCTGTGATTTTTAACTAAAAATTAGGCAGTTACTCTCTGCTTTATAGGCAAGGACTGAATCAAGCGAAGATGCGAGTTCCAGGAACAAGTTGATCAGAAGAAGAAGTGGTCGCTGGAACAAGGGATTTATTCGCCTGACGTTTCGGATTCTCGTTTGAACATAGCCTCAGAGACGGTGGCAGAAAAGGGTGACTTGTGCACAGGAAGTTGCAGTATTTATAGGGTGCAGTCGCTATGCTACCGTACACCTATAGCAATTAACCGCGCTCCCCTTCATCAAGGATTGTTGTCCGCTGGTGCGCTAATTGTTTGATGTCCGGCATGCAAGTTATCAATGGCCAAAATGTCATCACCCGTGTTGGATGCTGGCGTGATGATTGCTCGGCCATCTGGCTCACCGGCTTGCGCGCCCCCCGAGTGGTCAATTACTTCGGACAGCCTATGCCTGAGCACGGAATATGGAGTGGGGATGTCGTTACACTTGTTGATAGACTGAGGTCTCGTGAACCATTACTCAAGCAACTCGCGGCTCACGCAATTATCCCCTCTCGCGAGAATTTTCGTCCTCACCGAAATTAAATGTGTGGTCGGGTCTCGTCGAATGGGCCGCGACCTGAGAGTTGACGTCATGTCTCCGTACCGCTGCCGCGTGTTCGGCAATTCGCGTTCGGAGCAGTCTTGCGGTTTCTCCGACGTAGTGGCTTTATCCGCAAATTCACCAGATCCGGTAAACGACACCAGATGTTTCTTGCCGTGGCAGTGGGTCTTTTGGTCTCATCATCTGACGCCTCATGGTGGCCTCCGGTCTGTGTGCAACTCCAACCTCCATAATTATCCTACATCGATTCAAAGGCAGCATTAGCAAACACACTTTGAAAGTGCGCCTAACGGACCCTAGTTAAAGGGATTTTGGACCTGTCAGGTGAAATTGTGAGACTGTTCACGGTTTCGTTCTTCCTTTTTATTTGCGGAAAACAGTCCAGGTTTTAGAAGACTTCACGGTAACAATCGGGAGATGGCACCCAAAAAAAATCCGCCTAACCAAAGCAGCCTGTTTTATGGGACAGGTGGTAATAGGGGTTTTATGTGTGGTGGCTGGTCGGGATGTACGATACTAGCCGACAGAAAGCCTTAGTTGAACAGGTGAATGATCGAAGTTGGCCCGCTCTCCATTCGTTATTACAAAATGGGTCGCCAAAGGCATTATAGTGGTAACGGACGAGTGGAGGGCGTATAATCGTCTTCCCTCAGAAGGTTATCTATATTTCTTTGTTAACTACTCAAAGAACTTCAAGGACTCTACCATCGGACGGCACACCAATGCCATTGAGGCAAACAGGAGTAAATTGAAAAAGAAACTCCCCGAGAGAGGTCCTGTATGTGGTCGAGCTGTGTGGGCTCCCATAGACGAAGCACAGTATCGTCTTTCGTTTGGCCTCAATGCCATGTCTTTGACAGATGCCTGGGAACTGTTCCTGTCCCATGTTGTGCAGACGTATCCTATTTTAAAGTGTTTTTGTTATGTAATAAACTGCCATAGTGCGAATGTATGCCGTATATTCAGGTATACGTGTGTAACGATGGGGAATGTTTGGTAATAGTGACCATCGTCCATGTAACCTCCTGCGATGTTCGTTCGACCAGCCCATGTTAGGCCGTCGCGGAAAGTCCACGTAGTGCATGAAAGTAGGCCTGCAACCGCTGATATAGCCTGAGGGCGTTTAAGTCCACTGTTAAAGGTATTATGTCCAGGTAACGGATTTTTTTGGGTGCCATCCCCCGATTGTTACCGACTTCACTTCCGATCACAAACAATGTGCATCTTTTCCACCTTACTCCTACAGGTAATAGAATCAATTGCGGACAACTGCTCTCGCCAAAATCCAGCAAACATCATGACAGTGGAGTGACCTCCTGGGCGCAGTGGGATGAAAATTCCCCGCTACCTGATCAGTGAACATTCCTCCACCATAACTGGTAATCTCGATCGTAATTGACTTGATAGCCGGACCGGAGGCCGGTGTAAGCGTCCCCCAAAATGGGCCACGTGTTAGGTGCGCTGGACCAACAGGGGGGGCCACATCGGATACTGGCAGGCGTCATTGGATTTGCGCAATATGACAAATGCTAACATTTCGGGGTGTGGTGGCAGACCCGGTTGCCGGCAGACGTCGTGCACACTGGGACCCCTGTCGACTCCCATCGTTGTTATTGGTTAAAATCCTAGCATATGCTGTCTGGACCGGGAAGTGTGGAGTGGAACGCCAAGGTGCGGCACGACCGTACCACCTACCTGCGCCCCTTCCCCGCCTCCGGTCTTCCTGACTGCGTGTTGACACCGGGTCCAGGTGGGAGAGCAGGGGAGAGGGTGGTAGATGCTGTGCAAGTCTACGTCCATTATAAACTAAATAACGCACAGGCCACCGTCCCTGCTTCACCTTGCTGTGGAGCACATGGTGGACATCGTCGGTAACGATGGTCGAACTGTCGGAAGAACGCTGAAATTAATAACGCTCAATTTTGTATGTAGCCTGTGACACTTGGTCGCTGATTGGCATCCGAACATGTGGTCTTGTAAAATATCTTCCGCCTGTGAGTCCACATTCTCAAAACTAGGTGGCAAACTTGCTGCCTTATTCAACCGTATCTCGTACAATGTGAAACTAGAAAAATTACACTGAACTGTCGTGACTCCGTTCAGAAAAAGGTGACTGGCTGACTGAACACTTGTGCCGAGGCGCCTGAATATCTTGCCTTTCCCTACCTGTTCCTCATGTTGACTTTCTATTTACATACGGCCCGTTTGCCTTGTTTCTACCATCATGACCTGCCAATAGAAGCGAAAAGACGAGTCGCAGGAAGCAGTCTTGAAGAAGAAGACACGATCGCCGGGACAAGAGCTTTATTAGCCTGACGTTTCGGATTCCTGCTCGAATCCATCATCAGAGACATAAGCAGATAAGGGTGGTTCATGCACATGCGGCTGCAGTATTTATAGGATGCAGTAGCCATGCCACCGCATACCTATGAATGTTCACGGCTCCCTCCCCTTCATCAGGAATCGTTGCACGTGGCGTGATGGCCGATATTCGCGTCGTTAATTGATGTAATTTCATCACGTGCGTTGGATGTTGGTGTGATGATTGCTCGACCATCTGACGCGCTGACCCGGGTATTGGGAAGAGTGTTCATCAAGGCGCTCCCCGCGTGGCCAATTTCTCCGCCTAGACGAGGTCTCAGCACGCTGTATTGAATGGGAAGATCATTGCACTTGTTAATAGACTGGGGGCCAGTGAACCATGACTCAAGCAGCTCCCGGCTCACGCGGTTGTCACCTCTTGCGAGAATTTCGGCCTCCGCCACGGCAAGAAACGTCTGGAGTCGTTTATCGGATCTGGTGCAGTTGCGGACAAAGCAACTACGTCGGAGAAACCGGAAGACAGCTCCGAACGCGCATGGCCGAACACGCTGCAGCAGTGCGGAGAAATGACGCCAGCTCTCAAGTTGCGGCTCATTCGACGGGTTCCGGTCACACATTCAAATTTGACGAGGCCGAAATTCTCGCAAGAGGTGACAACCGCGTGAGCCGGGAGCTGCTTGAGTCATGGTTCACTGGCCCCCAGTCTATTAACAAGTGCAATGATCTTCCCATTCAATACAGCGTGCTGAGACCTCGTCTAGGCGGAGAAATTGGCCACGCGGGGAGCGCCCTGATGAAAACTCTTCCCAACACCCGGGTCAGCGCTTCAGATGGTCGAGCAATCATCACACCAACATCCAACGCACGTGATGAAATTACATCAATTAACGACGCGAATATCGGCCATCACGCCACGTGCAACGATTCCTGATGAAGGGGAGGGAGCCGTGAACATTCATAGGTATGCGGTGGCATGGCTACTGCATCCTATAAATACTGCAGCCGCATGTGCATGAACCATCCTTATCTGCTTATGTCTCTGATGATGGATTCGAGCAGGAATCCGAAACGTCAGGCTAATAAAGCTCTTGTCCCGGCGATCGTGTCTTCTTCTTCATCATGACCTCTACGAATTTCAACGATGCCACTACTTCTCTCAGTGGACTTGTTTCCTCTCTCCCAGACTTTTGGTAACATGCGCCAGAACTTTATTTTTTCTGTATCGAGGTGACATTTCATTCCGCCAAGATAACACGCGAAACAGACAAATATTGTAAGTTGGTCAAGGCCCTTCCTCCGACCATTCTTTCCCAAGGGCAGAGGTTTCTAAGAGATCCCCCGACTGATGCTCCCTACACCAACTTAAAGGCTGAACTCCTTCGCCTGACATCAGTCTCCGATCGGCAGCGTTATCACGCATTGGTAAAAGAGGATGCCTTAGGTGATCGCAAGCCATCGGAACTCTTGCGTCGTGTGCGTTCTCTCGTTGGGAACATGGCCATCGACGACAAGTTCTTTAAAGAGATGTTCTTAGACCGTCTGCTGACGTCGGTACAAACAATCTTGGCCTCTGGCTCAGACGACCTAGACATATCAAAGCTAACTGAGATGGCCGATCATATGATGGAGGTTGAACGTTTGTCATCCCGGACGATTGCTCAGGTTTCCCAGCCTCTGACCTAGCTGAACTTAAGACACAGATTGCCCAGTTGTCAGCGACTGTTGCTGCTTTGCAGCTGCGCCGATCCCCCGGTACCTCTCGACGTTCCTTTGGGCGTGACCGTAGTCGATCCCGCTCTCGCCGCCCTCTTCCCGCTTTTAAACTTTACCGTGCTGATATCGTTTTATTTACATTACTACTTGGAGAAGGTTCTTTATATTAACGCAACTCGCATTTACTCGTTCCACACGAATTCACGAACTTTCGGCAGTTTCGCTTTTCTTAAAAAATACAACATCGAATTTTAACATAATGCTACTTTTAGGTTCCATTATATTCCTCTTTAACTGAAGGTCTTTCAGTTGTAATTAAGTGTTTAGACCGAAACATTTGAGTCGGATGCTGAGTTATTGTGAACTTTACGCATCTTTCACGATTTGGGTCGGCTGTTGTGCTTTATTAGGGTTCACATTCCTCCTATGATTTATTTTGGGTGGATTGACAGAATGGCCTCCTAACTCACTGCCTCTTATTATCCTCCCCCACAGTCTCACATCTAACTTATATCAAAAGGCAAAATTTAATCGATTTCTCTTATTACTCGCATGTTTAATTCGATCCCCTGTTCATATAAGTGCACTTGTCGGATGAGAATCTCTCGAAAGTAAACGTATGCTCACCAACTATTCGTCCGAGTTCGGAAATGAAGATCGCCAAAAAGGCATCGATTTTTGGATTGCAGGCACTCAAAACGTACGAAAAATGTTCATAGCTCGCGTGAGAAGTAAGGGGAAGATAAGGGGGAGGAGTAGCAGAGGGAGGCGGAGAAGGAGGAATAAAACGGGAATGAGAGTA